CTGGCACCAGTGCAGTGCCTCAGTACTGCCTGTTCCAGAGCAGGTCACCGGACCCCTGGGCCGCCTGGGCCACCTCCCAGCACCTGGCTGCAAGCTCCCCGGGTCCTTGCCTCCTGCAGCGTGCCCCCAGGGGCCAAACCCCAAGAGCCTGGCCTTTGAGTTCAGAGAGCTGCGGTGGGCAGCTAAGGGAGGGGCTGGCCCACTGTCTGCACCCCAGGGGAGCTCCTCGGAAGGGCTGGGAGGCTGGCAGCAGCATGGCCTGGGCTGTGAGGAGGGGAGGCACCTCCTGCAGCATTTAACCAGGGAGCGAGGCACAGCAAGAGCTCAGCTGTTAACTCCCGCCGGCTAGCAGAGTCAGGCAGCGCTCTGGGGCTTTAGAAGTAACTCACCCGGGGCCCTCAAGGGAGGTGGCCATCTCTCCGGTGGGGGCAGAGATCCAACTGGGCACCACAAGGGAACAGTAAGAAACAAACCCAATTCCCCTCCGATCCAGGGAGTTCCTCTGCTCAGAGCTCCCCGGCCCTGTGCACTCTGCCAGTGCAGCTCTTGCAGCAGGTGGGTCGCTGGCTGTTTGCTAAACACTCGCTAGTTTGCAGGCCACAGGGAAGAAGGCAAAATGTGTTCCAGTGTAAAACCGCTGCAATTCTCAGAGAGTCAGGTGGGAAGTCACCCGGCTACCTCAGCTGGGCCTTGTGTCCACACAAGGGGTGTAGCACGTAACAGAAGAGCATAAGAACGGCCGTACTGGGTCAGACCAAAGGTCCATCTAGCCCAGTAGCCTGCCTGCCCACAGTGGCCAGCACCAGGTGCCCCAGAGAGGGTGGACCGAAGACAATGATCAAGCGATTTGTCTCCTGCCATCCCTCTCCAGCCTCTGACAGACAGAGGCCAGGGACGCCATTTTATCCCCTGGCTAATAGCCTTTTATAGACCTAACCTCCAGGAAATTATCTAGCTTCTCTTTAAACTCTGTTTTAGTCCTAGCCTTCACAGCATCCTCTGGCAAGGAGTTCCACAGGTTGACTACGCGCTGTGTGAAGAAGAACTTTCTTTTATTAGTTTTAAACCTGCTCCCCATTAACTTCATTTGGTGTCCTCTAGTTCTTCTATTATGGGAAGCTTATATTATTGGCTGTCTGCTCGAGTGAAAGCAGGCTAACCCTCCCAGGGCAGGTGCTGTACTACACAGACAGTCCTGTGCTGGAGGGGGAATAAGCTCTAGCTACCAAATTCATAGTCCTGGAACATGAAATCTGATCCTTTGGGTGCTGTCAGCACATACCAGACAGATGTCACAGGGAGACCACCATTTCTCAACTACTATAAAGTGGGTGCATAACTGGCTGGAGAACTGTCTCAGAGAGTAGTTATTACTGGTTCACAACCCTGCTGGAAAGGTATAACCAGTGGGGCTCCGCAGGGGTCTGTTTTGGGACCGGCTCTGTTCAATATCTTCATCAAGGATTTAGACATTGTCATAGAGAGGACGCTTATAAAGCTTGCAGAGGATCCCAAGCTGGGAGAGGTTGCAAGTGCTTTGGAGGATAAGGTCATAATTCAAAATGATCTGAACAAATTGGAGAAATGGTCTGAGGTAAACAGGATGAAGTTTAATAAGGACAAATGAGAGTGCTCCACTTAGGAAGGAACAATCAGTTTCCCACACACAGAATGGGAAGCGACTGTCTAGGAAGGAGTATGGCAGAAAGGGATCTAGGAGTTATAGCGGACCACAAACTAAATGTGAGTCAGCAGTGTGACGCTGTTGCAAAAAAAGCAAACATGATTCTGGGATGTATTAACAGGAGTGTTGTGAGCAAGACATGAGGAGTCATTTTTTTTCACTCTACTCTGCGCTGGGTAGGCCTCAGGTGGAGTATTGTGTCCAGGTTTGAGTCCCACATTTCAAGAAAGATGTGGAGAAATTGGAGAAGGTCCAGCGAAGAGCAACAAGAATGATTAACGGTCTAGAGAACATGAGCTATGAGGGAAGGCTGAAGGAACTGGGCTTGTTTAGTTTGGAAAAGAGAAGATTGAGGAGGGACATGATAGCGGTTTTCAGGTATCTAAAAGGGTGTCAGAAAGAGGAGGGAGAAAAATTGTTCTCCTTGGCCTCCGATGACAGGACAAGCAGCGATGGGCTTAAACTGCAGCAAGGGAGGTTTAGGTTGGACATTAGGAAAAAGTTCCTGCCTGTCAGGGTGGTTAAACACTGGAATAAATTGCCCAGGGAGGTTGTGGAATCCCCATCGCTGGAGATAGTTAAAAGCAGGTTAGGCAGACACCTGGCAGGGATGATCTAGATAGTCTTGGTCCTGCCATGTGGGCAGGGGACTGGACTTGACCTCTTACGGTCCCTGCCAGTTCTAGTGTGCTAGGATTCTATAGGAGACCAGGCCACCCACCCTTCTGTGCTGCTTCTAGCAGGGTGCTGCCTTCAGAGCTGGGTTCCTCCCCAGCAGCCACCCCACACCAGCAGCGGTACAGAAATAGGGGACGCAGCACTGCACCCTCCACCACACCTCCTTTTGGGGCCAAGGCCCTACCATTGCACCCTGGGACATTGCAGATGTAAATAGCTGAATGCATGAAATTCACAATTTTTAAAATCCTAGAACCATGAAACGGACTCAAAAGGACCATGAATTTGGTAGGGCCTTAGCGACGGCATAAGGCGCCTTGCTATTGGTCAAACTGTCCACCCAAAGGCTGTGCTGGTAGAATGGTGCGGGAGCCCTAATATCCCAGTTCTAACCGCACAAAGCCTATGGGACAGCCAGGCCTTCCTTCTCAAGGGTCCCAGCCGCTCAGGGGCCGTGCTGGGCTCAGGCTCCCAGGGGCAATCGGGTGTGGTGGAGGCGGAGAGCCCACAGGGCAGAAGCAGCGAGTAGAGTGTGGTGCACACAGCAGGAGTCGAGCCTGAATGAAAGCCAGTAGGAAGGGCAGAATGAGCTCTCTGCGGCGAGCGGGCTGTAGTGGAGACGGCACCGTGTTCAAAGTGGGAGTCGTGGGGAGAAAGGCTCCAGTGCGCTGCTGCTCCTGAAGACCCCTGTGCTGAGCAGGGCAGCTGAGGTGTGTGCACAGCGGGGTGTGCAGCAATGAGCCTTCTCGCTGTTTCCATCTGTGCAGGGATACATGTGTGTGCTGTGCACTGGGGCACGTGTGGATGTGCACCACCAGTAGGAACACCTGCTAATTGGCTGGGCGACACTGGAATCTGTCCTGGGGGCCGCCCAAGCACCCCCTTTCCAGGGAACACTGGGATGCATGTGCACAGGGAAATATGTGGCCAGGAGCATGGGGAACGGGTCCTGGAGCTCCGGTGGCTCCAGAGGGTACAGCTTAACACGGACATCATAAAAACCAAACCCCACTGGAGAGCGACCCTTCCTACCGTCAGACAGAGGACACGGAAGGGTCCCTTGGGAACCTGCCCCGGGGTTTCGGTCCTGTTTACCACTCCCTCACACGACAAAAATCCTCCTCCTACTGACGATAAGGCTGGGTGGACAGCAGTAACTTCTGTAACAGCACCCCGAATGGTGCAGCTAGCCCCAGGCATTGACAGCCGGAGTGCAAACAGGAACCACTGCATGGCTCTTCCTACAAGACGGCCGTGCACTTCCGTCTCTGTGCGCGAGAGGACTGACGTAACCAGAATGCCGAACGCGCCTGTTAGCGACACTTGGGTGGGGATCATTGCAGATGTGTACTGGGCCCCGTGCCTGTCCTACAGGAGAGGCGCAGCCCCTAGGCCCCTGCTGCGCAGACGGAACGCACCCGGGAAGAAGCCACGGAAATCCCTTCCCTACCATGGGCGAAAGTGGCAGCATGCGCTGATCAGCGCCCCCTGCCCACCACCCAGCAGCTGACGCTGCTCTCCCTCCCAAAGACAGGTCTGGGCAGCCTGGCACCGGGGGCAGGCCAGGAGAGGAGGGGTTCGTGAAGGGCCAGCATGTGCAGGAAGAGCCCCCTCCAGAGGCAGGCAGCGGGGGGAGACGTCCGGGCAGCGTGGCACTCACAGAGAGATGGCGTGTGAGTAGCCAGGCAGCAGCAGGGAAAGCAAAGCAAAGAAACCAAACAGCAGAAGTCAGGGAAAGCTCTGGAAGGAAAGAGGCTTCTCATCGCCCCTCCAGGCTGCGCTGTGCTGCGCCAAGCCCCGCCGCCACGGGAAACGCAGACAAGGCCCCCGGGCAGGCCAGCCACAGAGGGCTTCTTCTCTCACCCACACGTAGCCTTTCAGAAGAGCCTGGCTGCCCCCCTTGGGGGAGCCCTGGGAGCAGCGGCCGCAGGGCTTGGACGGGATATGCCGGGACAGGGGGGTGCCCACGCTGCGCCGCTCTCTGGAGTCCAGGGCCAGCGAGCTCTGACGTCCATTGGGGCCAGCACACACGACTCTGCCTCGTGGGGCGGGGCCGGAAGCAGGATGCCGTTGCAGGTGTGCCGGGGCTTACTGAAGAGGCTGCAGAGCACGGAGCGCAGGCGTGCGGCCGGTGGGCCAGGAGAGGCAGGCGTGTGCGCCCGGGAGCGCCAGCAGAATTGCCATGCTGGCATGGGGAGACACAGGAAGGGACTGCAGCCGAGGTCACATGCCCAGGTCTGTTCACAGCGGGTGTGCGAGCCCCATTCACACAAATGCGCCCAGGGGATTCTTGCACGTCTGCCGACAGGCCTGGGGAGCTGGGCCCTGCTGGAGGAGTGGGGTGACTGCGGGGCACCTTCCTCATTTCCCAGCTGCCCTCAAGGGGAGCCTGCTGGCCTTGGCCAAGCGTGCACAAGAGCTGTTCTGAAAGGCTTGGGAAGACCTGGCTCCGGCCTGGCCCGGGAAGGGGGCAGCGGGCGGGAGGGCCTGCAGGCTGCACAGAGGGCACGCTGTCTCAGCCCCCTGGCACGAGAGGAAGGCTGGCGAAATAGGCCGCAGGCCTGGGGAGAGTGGACAGTGCCCCCTTCTCGCTCTCTCTCTCTCTGTGCCTCTCGGCCAGGGCCGGCTTGCTACATACCTCCTTTCCTACACATTTTCTTGTTGGGCTTTCGGGCGCATTCCTTGGAAATCCGTTTTACTGTAAAATGAATAAAAGACTCCAAAATAACAGGAGGCTCCACTGGCTGGAGTGGGCATGCAATGACAACCCGCTGCCCACCCCACCCCTCGTGGGACCGCGGGATGGGGGAGGGGAGCTTGGCTGTGGGAGGAAAACTCTGAGCCAAGGCTGTCCCCTGCAGCCGGGAACCCCACGGGAAGAGAAGAGGAGCTGCCAGGCTCCAGAGCAGCTGTCTTGCCACCAAACTGCTCAGGGCATGGCAGGCCGGCCCCTCCAGTTCTCTTCCATCCCGGGCTCGTGTTCGGGCGATTCTGGCAGCTGGCACAGGGCCCGGGAACCCACGACTCCCCTTGCGGCGAGGCTGCCACAGGCCTGAGCCAGGGCGCAGCCCCCTCGCCCCGCTACTTACAGTTCAGACGGGATCCCCTAGGAACAAAGCCATTGGAGACAAGAGGCACCCTGAGGCGCCCAGCCTCACCGCTCTCCAGCCCCCGGCTGGTCCTGCAAGCTGCATTGCGCCAGGCATGCTGCCACGTGGCCTGACCCCCAGCAGAGCACGGCACCAGCTCTCCAGGGCCCTCCCAGGCAAGAATGGCTGGGCCCCCATCACAGCAAGAGAGTGTTCCTCCTAGCCAGCAGCAGCCCAGGCCCCAGAACTAGCGCAGGAACCAGGGGGACAAGGGGAGACAAACCCAAGACAGCGCCTGGCCCTCGGCGCCTCGGGAGCCCAGAGCAGCTGGTCACTGTGCGCCTGTGGTCAGAGAGGCCCTTTCAGGTCGGGCAGCGCAGAGGGACCCGGGGGAGGGGCCGAGCTGTGTGGGGCGGGGAGAAGAGAGAGCACAGGAGACAGAGGGGGAGAGGGCAAGCAGAGTGGCCGAAGCTCTTCGCAGACAGACAGCATGCTGCAGGGGCCACAACCACATGCTTCAAACACAACATCCAGGGGGACGGAGCAGAGGAACTCTGGCACACCCCGACCCGGGCAGGCCCGTCTCCACCTGCCCCTGGGCACACTCACCATCCTCGGTGGGAATGTAAATGTTGAGGTACAGGCAGTCCTCGTTGGGGTCCTGGATGTACGTGGCGACTATGTCCAAATTGGAGGTGAACCAGATGGGCAGCATGATCTCGGGGACTGCACTGTGGATGTTCTGAGGACAGACCGGTGAGAAGTGGGTAGCATTCCTTATTCCAGACCAAGAGGAGGGGGGCTCCGGGGGCATGAACCTCTTTTCCCCAATGGGCGGGGCTGCATACGGCACCCCCAGGTACTGATCCACGGGACCCAGAATCTCACTAGGCAGTGGAACCCGGACCCCTCGTAGCTTTCCATAGTGTGTGTTGACAGTCGGCGAGTAGAGCTGGCCATCCATCTGTACAACAGCCAGGCTCAGAACCCAGAGCACGAGGCAAAGGTCCCGGCCTGCAGCCAGCTCAGGCACTTGGAGAGCGGGGAACAAGGACAGGCTCCTCTGGAGTATGAGCCACATTGTCCGTGAGGAGCAGCACCACCAGTCACACCTGAAGCTCGCTCCGGGGGCTCAGAGGAACCCCATGGTGGCCCCAGCCAGACTCGGAACGCCACCCAGAACCGAATGGCAGGCGGTGAGCCAGGGAGATCCGGGAGTGTTCCTCTTCAAAGCCCCCAGCCGGCCGGCTGCTCCTCACCTTCAGACACAGCAGCCCTGACAGGATGGACGGTTCTGCGGAAAGACGGAGAGGAATTAACAGGCATGGACCCTCACTGGAGAATGGCAGCTCCACCTGCCCAAGGAAGCCTGCAGCACAAATGCCCCCCCATTCCACAGCCTGGCCAGGGGCAGGAAGAGATCGTCAACACCTCACCTGAATGCTCCTCCCCTCCAGCCCTGGATACCCCCCGCAGCTGCCTCCCAGGCTGCTGTCAGCCCCGTGGTCTGGCGAGGCGCCTGGCGCCAGCTGCAGCGGGCAGGGCAGGAGGGCTGTGCGTCAGCGGCAGACGCACTGCTCAAGCATTAGGCTCCACGCTCGCCGCAAAGGGCTCAGCTCACACATCAGCTCCCGGCGGAGGGCTGGGGAGAGCAGTGCTGCAGGGATGCAAAGGCCTGCGGAGGGGAAGGACACCGACACCGCTGGACAGAGAGGAGCGCACTAGCAGGACCCAGAGCCTGGCAGCCCTCTCCAGCCAGCAGGCCAAAAGTGCCCCGACTGCTTTGAGCCTAGGACGGAGGGGTCAGCAGAGCCCGGCACAGACACCAAAACGAGAGTCCCCGTCTGCTGGAAACAACGTGCAGCCGCTCTG